GCTGCCAGAAACGAACTTCAATTGCAAACAACACACGCTGTCGAAATAACTCTTCATATGTGTCTTTCAATCACCGCAATTTTTTGCACTGGCTTCCATGTAATTCTCTTTTAAAGACTGCTCAACGTGTAAACACCTGTGAACATTTGAGTAATTCAAATAAACTTTTGGAAGTGGTGATTTGAAATACAATATATTGCATATTGAGTAGTTAAGGAGCTATAGCTGTTTTATTAAAGCTATCTCAACCTGCGCAGTGGCACTCAGTGATAGATTATAAATTGATCACTACAGATCAGTTTACACATTACTATAGCAGTATCGAAGTTGCCATCTTCAGGACCACCGTACTCTCATGTTTGCCCAGGGACACATGAGTTTCTTTACAACATCCGATCCAGCAGAACGCGAACATTCAGAAAAAACATAATTTTGATGAGTAATTCGTCTTAATTGAAGAGATATAGTTATTTTCTTAATGTTATATACTTTTCCACATTCAAACCTACCGTACTCTCAAGTTTGCTCAGCAACATATCAAGCATTGTACGTCATTCGATCCAACAGATATTCTAGATTCAGAAAACAAATATTTTGTCGGGCGATTTTGCTTGGTTGAGGAGATATAGCTATTTTATTAAAGTTATCTCAACTAGCGCAGTGGCACTCATTGATATATTATACATTGATCACTATAGATCAATTTACACGTTACTATAGCAATATCGAAGTAGCCATCTTCAGAACCACCGTACTCTCAGGTTTGCTCAGGAATACATGAATTTCTTTACACCATCCGATCCAGCGGAATGTCTAAATTCAGAAAAACATAACTTTGTTGAACAAAACCTCTTATTTGAAGAGATATTGTAATGGGGGCATCAGGAAGCGATTGCGACAATTCTCCGGCTAAAAGTTTCGGCGAACTATCGGACAGCAGTTTGGGTGCCGCCTTGAACGAACTTCGCCATGCCCTCAACTTTTAATAGTTGCCAGAAACGAACTTCAATTGCAAACAACACATCGTGTCTTTCAATTACCGCAGTCTTGTGCACGGGCTTCCGTATAATTCTTTAATGGCCGCTCGCTTTGCATCCCCAATTCACCTATGAATGTAAACGCCTGTGAAAATTTGAGTAATTCAACTAAACATTTAGTCGAGATGATGTGAAATAAATTCCGATTTTAAGCAACATCTGCCACAACGCTTTATCGGGGTTGAACTTTTGAAGTGGCATTTGAAAGTATTACTAAAACAACAAATAAAGGACTTTTCATCGCTCTTCTCATGTGAACAAATGCAATAGAAGAAGCAATCGAAGAAAATTTTATTCATGATACATCTGCAAAACGTATGGCTTAACAAGAATACGTTTGTGGTTTTTTGCATTAGTTTAACTCGAGTGAACAGTGTATCTAGCAATGTGGACCACAGAAACGACTTGAGCGATCGCTGAGTGCGTCAACGTAATTACCAACCATCACAAATGCACGAATCAGTTCCGTTTTTGATTGCTCATTTCGATGTTTCAGAATCTAAAGTTGATAGTTTTGATGGCAGTTGAATTCATTCTGAGATCAAACAAATAAAAACTGACTGATATTATTTGACTGAGTAATTTTAAGATGTATCAGCTATATTAATTTATTAATATATTTAGTTAATTAGTTCGATATCTCCTTTATTGCCGAAGTTAGTAAAGTTGCTAAAGTGTGAGTAAAATTGAATTGACCGAAATGCTGCTGAACACAAACCGTTTTGCATCCTAAAGTCACCAATGAATCCATTGTAAGAAGACCCTGAAGTGGCTTAGTCTGAATGCAAAGCTCGAGTGCTTGATCGATTACCGCGAACCAATTATTCACCGTTGTTGACCTAAACATTTCTCATTGTTGTGAACATGAACATTGGTATTCGCATGCAATTCTCATAGGATTTTAATCTCAATTCCGTTCGACTGAAATAATTCGTGCAAAATCTGATAAGCTGATGAAGTGTCTGTTGGTCATATTGAAGTGGTCGAATTTTATCTTTGTTTGGCAGATTTTGATGATCTGCGAAGACGTTTTTGAATATCATATCATAAGAAGACTCATCGCGTCAGAGAAGGTTAACTTACATATGACCTTTTATGCTTGCCGCGCAAGTATCCAAACTACTGCCGGGACCAAACGCTGGGCCATTATGAGCATTGATGACCAGCTGCAATTGATTTATTTCCGCATTGTCTTGAAAGTTGAATCTAAAGATTTGAATCTAAAGAATTTTGGAACAAATTCTTCGAATATCATCTCAGGTACGGTAAGGGAAACTGAATGCTCAGCCTCGATCTGCGCAAAAGTATATGGTGTTTGATGGAAATTGGTAGAGCCGTACTGCTTGTTAGTAAATTTTATACATTCGTAACTTATGACAGCACCATATTTTTTATTTCAAGGTTTTTGACTCAACTTGAGTTATATCTTATCACTAACATTATGACCTTCCTCAAGAAATTATTCTCTTTATTCGATCAAAGCTAAACGCCGATTGGTGAGAAACAATTCAATTTTTATGGCAGTTCTTATTCTGCTGAATACGATGGATGCACTTTTTGTGTTGTAATCTTCACGCGATAGTAGCATTCTCAGGTTGAATCAATTCGCTCACTTGAAAAACAAAGCAATTTAGTTCCGTTCATATGGAATGTTTTCGGTCGTTGAAAACAATCTGGAACTGGTTTTGTTCGCAGACGGATTCATTCAAGTCTTTTATTTGTCAACTTGTGGTTCGACAATTATCAGCTCTGACAGATTTACATTCCAAGAATTTTTTTTTCGCCTCATTTTCGTTTCTACCTAAAATTCGTTTCTCTTTCAGTACGTCAATGTCGTTTCGATCCTAAATTGTACCGAGTGCATCCTTTTTAAACTGCTCAAAACAGTAAGTGTATTTCCGATTGTATGAAAAAACATTCAGTCGATTAATTAGTTGCAAATCAAAACAAATTGTCAGATGATAAATGCGAAATTTGGCGTTCAAGAATTGAAATTTTCGCGTAAATCATAAAAATTGGCTTCGACTGCAGCTAAGAAGCCTACTCTTGTGCCTAGAGGTATAATGTCGGATGAGAATTTCAATTCACCTGTCGAATGACACTATCCAACGTCTCAAAACGCTTCACCACTTCATGTCGTACATTGTGAAGACAAGCGCACATCGATTTTTTGACAATATTAATCGAAGCTGTGCACGATGATGGAACTTGTTGATCACACTGATGGAGTGCTGAATTTCGTGAAAGGGAACTCTATTCCAAAACATCCGAATAGAACGCTGACCATAGTCTGCGATCACAGCAATCTCTTTCTTGCTCTTTTTGAATCTTTGATTCAGAGATTCTCAGATGATACTCAGAAGTTTTTACTCATAGCAAACTGACAGAGACTCTAGATCAAGTGAGTGATCGCAGTGATAGTTGTCAATTGATTGATTTTCTTGTAACTGCCATCTGATCATCAGGTTATCATGGTCGAGTTGTAAAAGTTATCAAAAACTGACAATTATCATCTGATTAAATGACTAGAGACAAGTGAAATTGACTCAAAAATATGGACACTGAGAATAAATCGAGATTGGGAAATACAATTTCCCAATCTGCCCGCTTAATATTGAACCAATGAAATGATACCTTCACAGTGAGTAGGTAAATATCTCGGGAACGGTTTCCTCAAGCACTTGACTGTTTTGCTTGCAGTGGATTTGCTTTCGAGACCACATGAATAAAGTTTGTTGTGTATGTGAACATAGTCTGAGATTGCAGTGGCTCTAAAAAGCATTTTGCATGTGATCAGTCAGTTTAGTGGAGATCGGTAAGCCTTTCATCGTGTTCGTTGGATAAGGCGACTGCGAAAAATTCAACGTTCTCAAGTCAACCATTTTAAGTTTGTTTCATTCGGGAATGTCGAAAAAATGATCAATGTTGGTGCTTGAATTCAATCAATTCGCTAGGTTGTTGCAGCAATCAGTAGAAATTCGCTAGGTTGTTGCAGCAATCAGTAGATTTTTGAGTGATTTTCAATCGAGTAACTGAACTGACACATTATCAAGGAATGCCGATGAGGATTCCTCAAGATCCGGCGGAGTCGGTGGAATATGGAAGTCGATATTTTTCGATTGCAAACACTGTTGACTTTCGCGAACTACTGCTTTACCAACCTCACGCCGAATACATTGTTGCTCTTTTAGTGGTGCCTTCAGAGTGGATGAAACGACCGCACCCAACAACTGAATTCATCAAGTGGTCACTCTTTTTGGATTTCTTGCATTCTATCAAATTTTTCTATAAATGATTTTTTTCTCCGCTTATCGACCGCTAGCATCCGGCCAATGGAATCAGAAAATATCACGCTATAGGTTTGAGATCAAAAGTGGACCAAAGATAATCGAGCGAACAGACTCAGCACATTGGTAGTTCAACTAAAATTTCCATGTTGAAAGCGATTTTTTGATGGTTCTTCCAGATTGATTTTGTCGAAACAGGAAAATGATTCCAATTGAGTTTTTAAATGGTATTCTAGAGCAGCAGCCTGAGTGTCGCCTAATAGGGCAATGAAATGAATCGAGTAATCTAGACGTACCTTTATACAAAGCGGACAATCTGCGTAGAGGCCTTTTTCGTCCCATGCTTTTGCACTCAATTCAGGTACACTTAATGGGCATTTGTTCGGATCGAAGCACTCTTCGACGGCTTGTCTATAATTTCAACCATTCTAGCGTTCTTCTGAAGAATTTTACTCGCATTCAACTGGGATTCAATTCATTGGTATCCATTCAAGATCCCTATTAACCTGAGGCGTAATTCAGGCTGCTCAATGAACTTTTCACGGCACTAGCGATGTTACCTCGTTTGCGTTTGCAAGTGACCATTCTATCTGGAAAGGAACCAACCCACATCTATATTTGGCCAATTTATTTTCTATCCTAAATATTCACTGAAACATTGGCTCGTCTGATCGCTTTGTGTGCTATGCTCAACGATGGGAAACAACTAGCGTTGGATATATCCATGGAATAGTGATGAATCTAATCCGAGTCGAACCAATTCAGTAATTTTTTTGCAAATCAAATGAATTCGATAAAAAAAACTCAAATACATCGAGCAGTGGATTAAGTTTAAAGGTCAGTTCCGAGTTAGTTTAAGGATTCTCTCTAACAGTAAGCAAAACTTGTTGAAGCATTAGCAATTGCATGCGTTCATGTTATCAACAAATGCAAATCTATGATTTTCGAGCAATCAGTCACGTCCAAAT